TCAGCCAAAAATTCAATTAATTAAAAAATCATTTAAAAAATAAATTTTTGTTGTTGTTTCACTTCTGTTCGAAAACCTCTTTATGATAATAATTTATATAAATTTAAATTTATTAATTTTTTATAAATAAATAACCAACTTGAAAGATTCCAAGTTATTCATCTTTTTGTGAACACTGACATCAGCGTTAGGGTTTTGACATCAACCTAGAAATAATTGTTATTGCAACATGTACTACAAATGTATATCTAGTATTATGTCATAAATTTGGAATCTGGAATAGATTTGGAATGTTTTTACGATCTAAAGCAAGGCAGAAATTGTGTGAACAAAGGCAAAAGAAAGGGGTTAGTATATTGGTTAGTATATTTTGCATACAAAGTATCTGAAACTTATAATTTGCCATGCAAGTTTAAACTTCAATCTATTATCTATAATGTTTATGAGTGGTTTCATAATAACGTTTCTTAGTTCACTTTGATTCAGTTTATTCTTAGTCTTAATGTGTTTAATGTGTGGGATCCATTGTCAATTGAACAAGCGCTTCTTACGTTGTTATAATTTTTTATGTATTTTATATATTTCAATTTTTTTTTATTAATTTGAAAGTAGTAAAAAAATTCATTTGTAATATACGTATGCAAATACCGATATGTAATTTGTATTTTACTGTTAACATGACTATTTACAGTCATATTGTATGTTATAAACATAGGTATACTCGCTTCAAAATAAATAAAACTTTTTAATTGCCAACTTATTAGCAATTACATACAGCGGTGAAGTGCATCACTTCCCATATTCATCAGGTTTTTTATTCTAGCAATTCTGCCAGTTGAAAAAAAAAACACTTCATAGCATAATCCAATCATAATGTAGTTTTAATTTAACCTGCTGCCGATATCTCCAAGACATCGCCTATTAAGTTTTAATATGGTTAATACCACAGTGCTATTTATAAATGTATTTAGTTAATACTCCGTGTTTCTAAATAATTTTCTCCCTGTTAACTGTTATACGAAATGAAGTAGAAAAATTCCTGTGACAAAAAAAAATGATGTAGATGACACAAACACATTTTGAATTATAGTAAAATAGAATATAGCAGTGAACATCCTTGGGACTAATCGATGTACAAACAAATACAAACAATTAAATACTGCTAGGTTGCTAATACTCTCTGAATAATTGAGGACAACATAGTAAGAACCGTTTTGAAAAGTGCTTCATTAAGATCCTGTAACAGGGGTATCCTAAAAAGAACTTAAGGAACACTGCTTGAGATAAACCGTAAAAAAATGGCGCTCAAAATTTGATATTTTCGGAATGTTGAGGGTCGAATCTTAAATGTGTGTTTATGTTTGCACTATATTGTCACACGAGCGCATTCAGTTCATTATGACAGTGGATTTTGAAAACAGAAATCCTCAATACTTCTTCTCGCATTATTGCCTGCAACATAATTCAAATGGTCTTAGTCCTTTTTGCAGAAGTAACTCAAGATAATTAAACATTTTTACTCCCAACACAAGTATAGTCCAGTAATCTGTATATTTTATTTAAAAAAATTAAATCGACTGGAAAAAATTGGTGTCACTCTCAAAACTTAAATGCTCAAAAGTTTTAGTTTCTATAGCCACTACATTTCACTGCACATCCATTGTTTAAATTAGGGCTATATCTTAGAAATAGCATTAATTTATTTTATTATTTTTCATAAAACTACAGAAGAAAATAACAATGCCCAACCACAAATTTAGATGGGATTTCACTTAAGAAATTCTTTCGTCTTTATGTTGGAACTATAGCATTCAAACATGGAAAGAAATATATTAAAAATTGTACAAATATTTTTTAAAGAAATTATTAAAAAAGTCGCTGATAAGATTAAAATCACTAAGTTCCTATCTATTTGGACTACTATTTTTAACTTGGTCTACATATTTAGTTATAAAGCACTGCCTACTTTTTATATAAAAAACTAAAAAATTTGCTCTTCTTTCTTAAAAAACTTAAATGGCTCATCAACATTTTTAAATAACTTTAAAAAACCATTTTTATACAAAGAAAGTGCCCAAACTTCAATATGATGTACCCATATAACTCAGAACGTTCAGCTACTCTAAAATCTCCCCAGAGATTATATCGGGCGTCGAAGCGTGCAACCCTCATATTTGGGCAACAAAATGCGGTGGTTACGTTTCAATAAAAGGCATTCTGACAGCGAGTTAATTCGTAAAAGTCAGTAACCTCATCAATGAAAGCGACACTTCTGCCGACACAAGTCTACTATTGTTGCGCCGCAGTAGAATTCCAACTGCTAAATGGTTAATACTAGAGAATGGTGAATGCGAAGGGCGTTGAGTATAACGCATTAGATTTATGTGCCGAAAAACGTGAGCTGCATATGTTTATGACTTCATAACAATAATTGCCTTACTGACTGTTTCCCAACCGGTCCATACTAACGGAAAGCACGCACTGGCGTTGAAGAATGCCGATGGTTAACCAAAAATGTTGCAGTATGCGTTGCGCATAAAAGAAGCCGCACCACAAACGTACTACAAATAGCTTGGACTCATACTAGGCTGCAATGGTAGCAGTGGCAACAGAAGGGTTGCAAAATCAAGTACACCAAGAAAAATAAAAGGCATGGGAATTTCTCTGTACTATCGCTACTGCTTGATATACGCAATCTACACGCACTTTCTGTGCGAGAGTATAGTTCCCTTCTTGACTGACTGTTGACTGACTGCATCTATGACTCAAACGGGGGTCACATAATTTCTAACACACTAACGTAATAAAGAGCTCAATGACACTCAAATTGAAAGCGGCTCATGGTGTGAATAACGTAATGATTTCTTTATTTTACGCCCGTACTTGGTGTAAATAATGTGCGCAATGTGGCTTTATTTTGGGGAGTTGAGATTTTTACTTGCAACAGCTTCTACTTTTGTTTTTGTTTTTGTTTTTGTTTTGTAGCCGTGGTGATAGAAATTAACCCCTCAATTGAGGTTGAATTTAATTTTGCACGAAATTTTAAAATTAATGTTGATGGGGGTGTGTATGGGTATAGTTGACATTGAAATGTAAATTATTTGCCGTTGAAGAGTCTAATAGCGTCGTTAAAGGATAATATCAAAATTGTCTCTTATTAATTAAGATGATGGTTTTCAAGGATAATAAACACAAAATTGTAACCTTGATAAAACAAAGATTTGGTCTTAAAGGGAAGAATTTGGAGATTTGAAATGAAAGATTTAATAATAGTTTACTCGAGATATTGTATATATGTTCTTTCTAGATTATATAAGAAAGTACAATGAAAACAAAATTTAATAATTCGTTAAATTGATGAGTTTCTGGATTTATAATATAATATCTAACTACTTATAATATAATATCATATTTTTCTTTAATTAAATGTATATATAAATAATGCAGTTGTTGTTTATCAATAATAAGTCCGCAAATGTTGGCTTGAAAGTGCTCTCATGTCTCTACTTTTGTGCTCCCTGCGGATAAAGGTTTAGTATATTCCCGAGGTAGGCATGGCTATTGTAAAAGGAGGCTAAAATCCAGGCGCTATGCTGATACTGTTTTGGATTGTGTATGGTAGTAACTGATACGGCAGTTGCGACACCCGATCGGAGGTGTAAATCTGGTACTAGCCAAGTGCCAAGTGATGGTTGGAAGGCTCATAGTAGGTGTGATTAATACCTAAATTACGCAAAAATAATGATCGGTATTTGTTTATCATTCATTCGGCTTGAAGTTGCGTATTCATCATCCGGGTGTTAAGTCCCAAAGATCAGTATTTATAAGCCTCGCTTCTTAGAAGAAGTTATGTCCAAAATACATAACTTCATTAGAACCGGCGAAAAATTATTAGAATTTCCAATGGTGCGTTTATCGGTTCATTATATTGATTTATGTGTTTGTAGAGCACCGTGGTCTTAGGTTTTCATGGCAGATACCAACGCTAAACAACACTGTTACTCTAGTTTTGTCCGAAAAGTGAAAGCACATGATCACGAAATACTATTAGTAGGATCACTACGCAAAGTTATGCGATAATCCAATGCTTTTCGCAACAACCTAATTTTTTTATGTTAAAAATAAGACTTTTACATATTAAGATCATTTAATTAAAAACGAAGACATTAATAGCCATGGACCTGTTGTGATTCTTTTGAATTGTACCATTCCACACACCGGCACTTTGAACAAATATGAGACAAAGATTGTAGGAGTTCAGAACGAACTGCATTCATTCAGAACCAAAACATCCGATTATACAATATAATTGAGTTTTTATTAAGTTCAAAATTAACTTTGCTTTGAGCCACAAACTGAAACGTTGCCTCTATAAATGTTAAACTAAAACTAAAAGCTAAAAATACCGAATTTTGAACAGATCTAAATACTTAAGATATTGCATAATTGGTCTGAGTCTTTTTAGAAATTAATTACTCTAACGAAGTTTTCAAAAATGCTAACTAGTATTATTAAAATTTAAGACATTTCAGTTTTCTAACTTATCATTCACCTTATTCACTACTTGCTGTGCTAAAACATTTAACGTTTGTCCTAAACTCGGCTATAAAAGACCTACTCAAATAAATTTCGAAACTGAAACCATTTGTTATCCTTAAAATTCTTTAAAAACTTCACAAAGCACGTCATAAATAACAGAAATTTTATCTTTGCAATGTAAAAAGCAATTGTACTCAAACCTCAACTTTTGCACTAAAATTAAAAGTTAGTTAAGTGAATTTATGAGATAATACAATGCGGCAAGCCGCATACACGATTATGTAGGAGAAGTGTTTTCCGTATGTACACTTGCGTATAATTCAAATAGAACAATAGAATCTTTAAAACAAAAGCAGTCCTTTTGTGGCATACCTCACCCACACAACTGCTTACACCTTGCAATGTTGCATGTGTCATATAATGCACAAGAAACCTGCCACCAAAGCAACAAAAATTCATACCTTTTGGCTGTGCACCAGGAACGCCGCCCACACTTGTGCCCGTATTATGGCTACCAACAATACCACTAACAACACCCACATTAGATGTTGGATGAGTTGCACTTGCTGCCAGCTCCGCACCTGCTACACTGCTATTTGTGCCAATATTGGCGCCAAAACTTTGCCTTTTTTCCGACTCATTATCCTCGCGATCCTTCTCCTCATCCGATGCGAGTACATCATCATCATCTTCAGTGCGATGTTTTGGTTCCCATGTCATCTTGTTTTCTTTTTTCAAACGCCTGCGTGCATTAGCGAACCATGTGGAAACCTGAGTTAAGGTCATTTTAGTGATTATAGCCAGCATGATCTTCTCGCCTTTGGTTGGATATGGATTTTTCTTATGTTCATTGAGCCAAGCTTTTAATGTGGCTGTGGATTCACGCGTTGCATTCTTGCGTCGTGCTGCTAAATCATAGCTGGCGCCATAACTGCAAGAAAAACGAAAAACTCATTTAATTGCTTGATTAAAGAAACTAAATCCTACACAAAATCTTAACAGAGTACATAGAAAAATGACTAATATATAAATTCTACTTAAAAGTAAATGAAATTACTTGACACCCTTTAGTTTCATACAGTCAGTTACCCCAGTTTTGAAGCGTTAGCATGAGTTGTGCATTACAACCAATCCAACTGAAAATGTACGAATGTGATATACAACATAAAAAATGTTTAGAAAAAAAGCGTCATTTCACAAACTGTGCCATATGAGGTTCAAACACTTGCTTAAGCAGCTATCGCAACAGCCCCATGGGTGGTGCTTGCCCCTTGCAGGGTGCCACATTAGCGCAGTTGCTTCACAATGCGTCTTTATTTATGAATTCTAATATGAATGAGTGGCAACGCGTACACTTTTGTGCTAGTGCAACTTTGGTCACTTCTTAGTGATGCTATTCTGCACTCGAGTGCGATATTTCATAACTTTATTAAGTTAACGTCATATTTCGTTCGTGCTAGATGCCGTAAGTCGTTGGAGGCAAATCTGTTGCACAATATCTTTTATATTATTTATTAAGGGAAATTGTGGTACAAAACTTGACGGTGCTGCAGATAATGTTTTTGTTGCTACTTTTAGTGTTTTTGTTGTTGTTGTTGTGGTTGTTGCTGTGCTGATTTTATGTAACTCATATGTATCGTTGCTCGTTGCTGAACACAGCAGGTGTGCAGTGTTTTGATGTATTTTCGCGTTCGTCGCCTGGACAATGTTATTTATTGAGATGCAGGTTAGCCAGCATCAACAACAGCAGGACATCATTTGATATGGACTCGCACATACTTATTCCTTCAAAACCAAAATATTTTTATTTTTAATTATTATTTTAAAATATGTCATAAGCTGATGCATTTTTTTAGTTAAAAACGTATAAGAACGACATATAAAAGGATTGGTCATATGTAGTAATCTATGTAGTATATATACATATAGAAGGTTATAGTATAGTTCGCTTTAGTTCAAATCTAGATTTATTGCAGAAAATTTAAGATATTTCATAAAATAATTTCACTGAAATAAATCTAATTAGTCTTTGTTATTAATACCTCGGGTTTCTTTTAAGTGTGGGTAGAATAATTGCATAATGGCAAGGAAGCAGCGGTTTTGAAATTTATGATAAAAGAAATTGCTGTCGAAAAATTATTGTAGTGAAATAATTTTAAGCACTGTTTACTTTCAATAATTTTATATTCTACTTAATTTTTCTATTCAAGGGTTTTACAAATGGTTAAATAAATGAGTTTTAAAATCTTGATATGATATGAAAATTTAATTGGTTTTTGTTCGTACCTAATAGATTTTTAAACTTATGAACCGCTCAGCACAATAATTTTTAATTAAATGCACCGACTGTAAGTTTGACAATAATGTGTTTAATTAGTATTAATATTATAGGTTTATCACTATTAATAAAAGTAATAATACTGAAATTGGTACGTAGAATAGTAACCAAAAGAACTATAAGATAATGTATTAGTAAAAAATCATACTTTGGTGAAGTGATGTCATATTAGAAGCAGGATCTGTTACTTGCAAATTATTTCACAACTTTATGAATAACAATAAATTTAAAAAATATTTAATCAAGTTACTAATTTCATTATACATTTCTAGGGTTATACAGCACAAATTGTCAGTTAAGGTTGGAATGTCAATTATTTTTATGTACAACATTATTACTTTGCAAAAGAACTAAATTAACTGTCAAAAAACTGATGTCAAATGTTATTAAAACTACAATTTTCAATCAAGACTTCGAAGGATATGTTGCTTATAGGATCCATAAAGGAGATTTCCATTATGCACTTCAGTTCCAAACTCAGTCCTTATTGTAGTTTTAAAACACAATTAATATGGATTAATTTGGATATAGGTGGTTTCATTGTAATCACACATTCTCAGGAATGCAATTATCGTGGAGCTAGCTTAAATAGAAATGTGGGTTGGGGGAAAGGTAATCATTGTTACCGTATGTCCTCTGCTTTGATGGTAGTATTCGAATGAAGATGCTGTGTATTTTTTAACTAAATACTATTTCGGGTAGATGATTACTGACACTCTTAAATTAAGTGAATACTTAAAAACTGATTCTTTTCCCATACGAATTTGCTACATTTCATGAAGCAATAATTCAAATCGTAACGAATCATTAAATAATCAGTTAATGAACTTTAAAATAAGAAATTCTCCATATACCTAAGTAATCAAAAAAACTGGAAATAGTTACCATAAGTATACTACTTATAAAACTATAAATAAGAATTAATTATTTACTTTATAACTATTTCCAGTAACTTTTTCAAGTACATAAATAGAACATCGAAAACTTGAGGGTTAAAGATCGAGCAATGAAGCTTCAAAAAGACTTTAGAGTTTTATAGATCGTGATGCTGGTCAGTTAGGGCAATAGGCGAAATACTAAATATGCTGTATTATGTATAAAGAATCCTAAGCTGAATAATAGCCATATATGAGATTTATAAATCACTATAGATTTTTTTGTTGAAGAATATAATTAATGCGTTCTTTTTAAGATGGTATGTTGATTTCTCATTAGTAGTTTTGTTTCTGGCATGCGACTGAAAGTTGAGTTAAACTTAATTAAAAAAATAGTCATAAGAAACAAATATTTCACATTGCTTATTTACTGAACTAAGGAAGAGGAATGACAACAGGAAAGCGCTTTTCATGAATAGGGCACTTAAAACATATTGTTTATTTTAATTTCTTTATGTGGTAAACATATTTACAGATTTGGTGTACATTATATATTACATATTATATAGTATGTATGTATGTAGATCCTTTTTTCGAGTCAGCGCAACTGGGCACTTTTACTCTTTGATAGCTGGGGGTACTACAGGGTCCCACCCATCTCAATGACTAATTTATGTATTCCCTATAAGTTTCATGATTATTCAGTGATTGATCTAAGATCTGCATACCTCCCCGTGCGGAGAGTGATTACTCGAAGATTAGATAGTGCTAAGTAGGATAGCCTGTCAGTTTTCGCATATAATTTCAGGGCTCTGTCCCTTATGTATTATTTGATCGGGTCTATTCTAAAGTCCCTTAGCATGTCGTTTGTGCGGATGTATCAAGGCACTTTTGAAGAGTCTGCGGAGAGTTTGACTTTGAGCAACTTGTAGCTTTTGTATAGTAGAGTCGGCAGTTTTGCTATACGCGACACACCCATAAAGTAATGCTGGTCTAATTATCTAGCTATAGATCAGTTTTCTGTTCTTCTTGGTATACATTATATATTACATATTAGTATACATTATATATTATTATATAGTAATCAATTTTAAAGAGACACCGAATTTAAACTTTTGGAAGAGTTCACGCTATCTTAATTTTATTTTCAACCTATCACAACAATTTGAATTAATCAAACTAATGTGTAATCAAACATTGAGCCAAAAAAATTCGATTTATTCGAATATGAATACTTACGATCTAGTAGTATTACTAAATCCAAAATATTTCAATAAAATGCAAAGTCCACTTGTTAAGTAGTTATATGTTATATGAATAGTTTGCATACATTAAAAAGAAACATTATAAATTATATATTACATTTATAATATAATGGCAATTATATTTTACATTCTACATTAGTTTGTAAACTTTATTTGTTTAAATGTTTAAATGTTGTACTTAAATTCATGCTATTAATTTAAGTAATCAATATTGATTCAATTAATTAAAATCAAAGCCTCAAACTAATTGTCAAATTTGATAAACGTCTTTTCGATTTCTGCATAAATAACCTTTTCTACAGAGAAAAAATTCACAAAAACTAATCACAATTGTGCATTACCGCAACATGCCAAATAAAATTTTTATATTTGTCACATGCTTGTCGGTATCTTAAAAAGGCAAATAACTTTTTATTTAGCAATACCATTTGCTTTTTAATAGCAGCGACAAAGGCAATTCCAAATGATATCCAAAGAAACATTCAAATATGTACCTCAATAGCTGCCACAGCCTAAATTGCGGACTATTAGCCACATGCGCGTCTGCGTGACACTTCGATATCAATCAAAGTTTCACCCGTTATTGGTTGAATATTTCATAAAAGGAATTTCACCCGCCAGCGTAATGCATAAAGAAAAAAATTTGACAAATTTAAGTAGCGCCATCTAGACTTGAATTTAATGGGCTTTCTGTTAGCTGTCACAATAATTCATCAGTCAGTTGGCCGGGCGCGCATACGTTTCATATATGTGAATGTATCTAAGTAAAGTGTAAAACATATAAAACTAAGGAAAAATTATTCCCCTTCGATTCGAAACAACCAAAATGAAATAAAATACCATTAAAAAGGGAATAGCTAAAAAGCCACAATCAAATTGGAGTCCTTGGAAACACTTGCTCACATATGTAGACTCGTATGCTTACGCCAAGGTCACACTTGCGGAAGTTCAAAAAAGCAGAGAAGTATTTGGGCGTTTGTGCAAAACTTCAAGGCCCGCAGTATTTTCAACAGTCCCAAATGCTTTTCACATACATTTCACATTTGTGATTCTTTATTAAAAAATCGTCGTTTTCATTTTAAATGAATTATCGACGATTTATGCTATGGCAATGCAAACGCATGCATACACCACCTACACACGCATGCAATCCTTCATGACAGTGCGGTGTGGCAACTCTTACACTTTTAATCCATTTAAAGTAACGAAACTGTTCGAATGGTTTGCCGTTTTGCGTGTTAACCCATACGTTGGTGTGTTTGTGTGTGGGTGCACCGGGACGCAATATATCCTTTGGTGGGTTTGACGTGTGCGCATAAATTTTTGCGGCAAAACTTTTTGCTGCGCTTAAACTTCTTAAACAAAAACAAAATTCAGATTTCATTTCGTTTCCGCTACATTTCATGCCTTTATTTTCCTTTCGCACTGATTTGATTTATTTTATTTGTTTTATGTGACACCCTCAAGTGTTTCTGTAATGGGGACATGCCTCTTAATATGAGACCTATGAGTTTGGAATGTACGAAAATGGCGCTAAACTTTTATTTACGTAATTGAATTGAGTGTAATTTGATATATTTTTTATTTATGTACTTTCACTGTTTTAAAATTTTTTTCATATATGTCCCTTTTTTTTTTTCGTTGTTTATATTTATTGTATATATTTGATGTTATTTATTTACTTTATTCGATTTATTGCATGTTATTGTAATATCGGTAAAAATGATGTGGAATAAACAAAACAGAATTATACTACATATATTATTATTATTATTATTATTATTTAAAATAGGCTATTTGTGCACCCCGACCTAAAAGATCTATTGTGCGCCTATAGGCCCAACTAGGACAATTTTAGACTATTTATAAATCTTATAATTGCAGTGGGCTTAATTTTACCTATTTGATTTGGGACCAGGATCCCGCTACCAAGGTAATCGAGTCTACGTCTTGCCACCGCTGGGCAGTTGCATAGAACATGTTCTGATGTTTCCTTCTCCTCATAACAGAGTCGACAGGAATCACTTTCTACCGCACCTATGATCTTCATGTGGTAATTAAGTCTACAGTGTCCTGTAAGAAGTTCAGTGTAGATTTTGATATCATTTCTGCTAAGGTTGATGATAGCATCAACTTTAATGTGTTCAGGATCAATGAATCTTTTTGACTGTCGCATGCCTGTTTGGGCTCTCCAGTGTTCAAGTAGATGCTGTTTCTCCCGTTCACATAATAAGTTGTTTGTGAAGCTATTTGTTACCCCGCAGAAGGGCTCTGGCCCAATGAAAGGAGTACATGCACCCTTCTTTGCTAATATGTCTGCTATTTCATTGCCCTCATGCCCCTCGTGTCCCGGTACCCACATAAGAGTAACATAGTTTCTCGATGCTAGGGTGTTGAGAAGTTGAAAGCATTCCCAAACCAGCTTTGATTGGAATAATGATTTTGCTAAAGATTTTAGAGCTGCTTGGCTGTCTGGTAGAATGCATATGTTGGTACCTCGGGTGCCCCTACGTATGCATTCTCTTGCACAAAGCTCTAAGGCATGGACCTCTGCCTGAAAAATGGAAGCAGTTTTTCCCATTGCGATTGCTTTACGGAAGTTTGGTCCCATAACTCCTGCTCCTGCACTGCCATCATCCATTTTGGACCCATCAGTATACCATAATTGAGAGCCCTGCTTTAAGTTGATTTTATTATTTCTCCAAGTTGATCGGTCACTAATGACCACTTCGAATTCCCTGGAGAAAGCTAATTTTCTATTCATCTTGTCGAAGACCTTAAGGCACGGAGAATTCCAGATTTCATCTAGAATCTTTGCGTGTCCTGTCAGATTGCCCTCTTTAAGATTACCTAGATAAGGAAGCCTTAGTGCAGCACTGGTCGCAGTCCTTTTAACTGTAATGTGTAATGGGGTGAGTCCAGTAAGCATTGCTAGGGCTTCTGTGGGGCACGTTCTCATTGCTCCCGTTACGCTTAGACAGGCTGTTCGATGAATCTTATTGAGAGTCATCTTAGCCTTCGTCTGATTTACCTTTGGCCACCATGCCAAAGAAGCATAGGTGATCATCGGTACTATTACGGTCTTGTACGACCAAGCCATCATTTTTGGTCGCAGACCCCAAGTTTTACCATACAGTCTTTGGCACGCATAAGTTGCTCTTAGAGCTTTGCCAGTTATATATGATAAATGGTTTTTCCAAGTAAGAGTTTTATCTAGAATTACTCCTAGATATTTCATTTCCTCAGATAGTATTAAGTCAGTGTCCCCTAACTTTAAGGTCCCTAGACTCATCTTCCTTCTTCTGGTGAAGGGTACTACATTTGTTTTATTCGGATTAATCGAGAGTCCTTTCTCTTGTCACCAATTTTGAGTAATATCAAGAGCTAGTTGCATACGATCGGATATGGTGGAGTCAAATTTGCCTCTAACCATGATGACTAGATCATCTGCAAAGCCCTGAACTTCATATCCGAGGTCACTAAGAGACTGTAGGAGTTCGTCAATGACCAATAGCCATAGGAGTGGCGAAAGAACGCCTCCTTGAGGACATCCTTTGGTTGACTTGACAGTTAATCTCTTCGTCCTCATTTCAAAGATTATCGTCCTGTTTTTCAGCATATTGAGAATCCATGTTATGATCAGTCTATGTATTTCTTTCCTGACCATTCCTGCCTCAATTGATCTGAATGTTGCATTATCAAAAGCTCCTGTAATGTCAACCGATGTGCAGAGAGCTATTTCCTTACCGTCTAAAGCCTTCTCGATTTTACTCGTCAGACTATGTATAGCGGTGTCGGTCGATTTGCCCGACTAATAAGCATACTGTTCAATATGTAGAGGTGAAGTTTTAATATAGACTTCCCTGATGTATTGATCTAGAATCTTCTCCATTGCTTTAAGCAGGAAAGAAGTAAGGCTAATGGGCCGAAAAGCTTTTGGCGTGTGGTCCGCCTTTTTGCCTGCTTTCGGTATGAAAGCTACCCTAGCCTTCGTCCAATGTTTAGGTATTACGCCTAATTCTAGACTTATCCTAAATAAGTTTGTTAATATCGGTGCTAATATATCAACGCCTTTCTGAAGAAGGCACGGTTGTATATTATCGATACCAGGTGATTTAAACGGGCTGAAAGTGGAAATGGCCCATTTAGTTTTATTGACTGTAAAGATTTTACGGGCCAGTGAAAGATCTCTTCGTGTAACCAATAAGAAACGAGTATCCCCGATGGTTTCCGTAGTCTCAGTATACATGGCACATATATTATTATAGTATATCTTCAGTGTAAAAGTACCTCATACTCTAGTTATCGTTTTATAACTATTAAAAAAGATCCATTAAATAGTAAAGTTGAAGTTCTATAATGTTTTATTAAACATAGCGGGATCAAATTAGCACTACACCCTTTTTAAACGCCATAAAGGATACTCTTTTGCTTCCCCGCCAAAACTGACATTTGTATTCGAATTTATACGGTGAACCATCATAGGAAGTAAGGGACCATTTTGTGGCTACAGATAAATCAAAAAAACATATGTAAGAAAAGCGTTGGTATGATTATAGTGCTGCCAATAACTTAGAACTCTGGATCATAAGAAGCCTGAGAAATGGAGGAATATATCTGATTTTTGCTATATCTTATTTTAATACTTAATCTTAATATTTGTCAACTATGCAACTCTAAAGAGTTACTAAGTGTTGAGTTATGCTATCAGACATATAGAAAAAATTATACAATAATTTATATATAATTATGAACTTCGTTTAATCCAGTAGTTTTGACTCTAAAAATTATAAATGTTTTTTTTTTTTTCATTTAATAATAATCGATTCAACCTCAAAAATAATAAGTTATTATATACTTAAATAATTAGGCCAGCACTACTGTACAGATGTGTAACTTACAGCAAAACCTTAAATACTGCCATAAAGCAATTACAGATAGCGCAAAATCTGGCTTTAAGAAGACTAATTAAGATGATTTCTTGGTATATTAGAATAACAGACATGCATAGAGATCTAAGGATAGACTCGGTAAAAAAATATATCAAAGTCAGAGGAATAAAATTATTCACAAAAGTTGATGCGCTGCCCAACTCCGCACCTAACAAACCTTAGGTCCACCTCAGGGCTCACAGGAAGATATGCTGATCTACGGTCCGTCATCAGTTAAAAAATAAATAAATGATAATAATTCTAGTATAGTTAGAGTTTAGTGTGGGGCAGAGATAAGCCCCCCAGCCACAAAAGTGTAAAAGTGCGCAATAGCACTAAAGTCACAACAACAACAGCATAAATTTGTTTGAATCTATTATCCAGAAATATAGCACTAATAGACACAAAAATTGTCAAATTATAGTCATCTTTTTGTACTACCATTAATAGGTTATAAATATTGTTTCAGCTTATTCAGGACTGTATTTAATATGTTAGAAGGTAGACAATAATGACGGTCATTTAATTAATTTTTTTTGCCATAAAATAGAGATAATAACCCCAGGATCCCAACCTATTTGTGAGTCAAATATTACGAGAATAGTCAAAGTAGGTAATTCATGATTTTATTGGTTGGTATTGATTAATGGAAACAATCACTTTTATTTTTTTTAACATAACATAATAAAATATAACATTAGATTTGAATGTATATAATTAATGTTAATATCAAATTTCCAACTTTTCAATCTACAATTATTAAACCGGAAAACTGTTTCTCATCTGCAAACTACCTTTGTAACAGTTTTCGATTCTGATTAGAGGGATTAGAGGACTAAATCCCTTAGGATCTTTAAGATATAATTTCAAAAATTGTCAAAAAAATTAATATTTGTGTATTTGAATAAAATTTTATAAATTTAAATTTTAAAATTTTATACAAAATTAATTATAATATATAAAAGTAAAATAAAATGAGCTATATATAATGTAGAACTATCTTGAATATTGTACAAGAGAGAGTAACTCCTATTTAGCAAATGTCTCTAAATTTAGTAAATACTAAATTTTGTATTTAGTAGGCATAATTTTGTGCGGTAGTTTGGTAAATAGATATAAGACAACTTGATATGAAGTGGAATCATAATCTATATTTCTTCATGAAATATAAGAAGAAGTTTAACCATGAATATTATTTAAAGCAAACAATTCCAATGTTTCGGGATTAACTTTAAAATCTCCAAAAATCTTGGGAAAATCTTGGGAGTGTCTTTAGTATATAAACGGTGACTGCTATTAGGGTTGGATATATAAGTCTTGAATTTATATGATGCTCTATCCTCTAAAAGAATATGAAATTTTCTAAAAATTTATAATACTTAAATAGGTATTACTATGATTTTCAGCTCCACAGAAAGGTCCCTAGGGCAGATAGGCTTTTTAGAAACCTTAGAAAAGAATATTTATTTTTCTTAATATCATATTATTGAAAATGTGTTGTTTCACTTTTATTATTTTTTAATGATTTTTGGCCAAAAAATTTAAAATTAATTTTAGTGTCTAGTAGTAAAGCTAGTCTATATTATAATGTGTTCCAATAAAAAAACGTCATCTTCTTTGAGTTGATACCTTTTTCCAATATGAAGAGTCTCTAACAGCTGAAAAATTTTTTATTTTTCTTCCGTTGATGCTTTATTCAACATTTTTTCAACAAATATTTTTTGTCCCTAATGCTATACAATTATTATCAAATGAAAATACAATAGACTTATTTAATGAAGACAAGTTTGATTTCTTTTAATTCAAAATATCAAACGTCTTAAAAACATACCCTGTATATTAAAAGACTATTATGTATTTGATAATTGTAGAGTTAAACCACTACGAATAATAATTTATGATATACTTGGTAAATTTATATTTCTTTCAAATAATATATAACAAAAATAATATGATATACGATTTCCTGTATAGTCTCTTTTTAAACTATACATAATTTTAGGAATGATGTATATGAAACCATTAATTGTTATACGTTTAATGATTTATGCATTCAAAAAACTTACTAGTAATTCATAAAATAAAATTTAATATAATTAATTAAATTGATTGCACATTATAGCAATTACGCGAAGTCGATTTAATATAATTTATTGTTGAATTGCAATTATTTTGTTTTTCCAAGTCATTTATTTTAAGCCAATGTTAATTAAAATTAAAATTATAGGTTTCTTGTGGGCATTGTTTTGCCCCAATCAGTTTAGATTAATCCATATAATTTAGGTTTCTCTTTCACAAAATTACAATGCTCAACTTTTAATTATAGTTTTGGAATTATTTAATTTTTTATAAAAATCAAAAATTCATTAAATTTTATTGCGAATTAATCAGTTTTACAATAGTTTTAATTAAATGCAATGAATTGCATTGATATAACCCTAGTTTGAAAACAACAATTAATTATTTAATGCAAGAATCTGATGCCTCAAGAAACTTTAAAATTGTTCGTGCAAAGCAAAATGTAAATTAGGAGATGGGTCTGAAAATATGTTAAGTAACTGCTAAGCAATTATAATTATTAAATCTTTGAAAAAAAAATATAGATAAAATAATAAACAATACGAAATGAATATGTTTTTAGATATAGTAATTAGGCAAACCGAATTAGTTGTTATTTATTAGGAAAATGTTTACAAAATAAAAGAAGTCTATGTGTATAAGAGAAGTATTGCAAAAATCTAACAACAACAGTTATATCATTATATTTTATTGTATTTATATTATTATATTGTACAATTTTTGTAAACATATAGTAACCTTAAGTATCAAAATTTATTATCTGGATATATAACTTTAAACTGCTAATAGCTTATACTATGGTACACATAACTATTATACATATATAACAAACTTTACATATTACTATTTCACTAATTTTGAAACTGATTTTATGTTTAGTAGTTATTTTCAAAAGTTTCATATCCATTTCTTAATCACCATGACATTGTCATAATATGAATAACCTGATTCCTTAGCAGAAGTATTGCATACATACTTTTCCAGAACCTTCCCACTCGAACAAGAAATCAATGAATTTTGGAATAATTAACAGAGTTTCAAATTACTCAAAACAAATTAACATCAACCAAACCGAATTTTTAATTTACAACTCAGAAGTACCCCAAAAAAAATTTCATTTTCTTAATTAAAATTGCGTTATTTATTGCCACATTTGAGAATTCTTCTGGATTCCCTTGTGTTCCAATGCATAATTGAAAAGTTTTTGCAAATTACTTTTGAAATCCATTTAAAATATCTTTCTATTTTATAAATTTTATATGAACTTAAATACTTAACAATTCTTAAATTGTCGAACAACCTACCAACACCACTCATCTCATCTCAACTCAATTCAACTCAACTCACACGGATGCGGATACAAATATGCTCGTACATCACTATAAAAACCGAGATAAAAATTGCACAACGGAATCGTTTGGTA